GGAAAGAAAAATAACAAATCACCCAAACAACAAACAGACAGAGGTGAAAACATAACTTCCTTTGTGGAGGTAAATCAATCATTTAGGTTATCAGACACCTTTTTTCTTTGCACTCTAACAAGACAATCTTGTTTGGCCTTGTGCTCTCTACTCATTTTAATGAATATGTTTTTTTAACAGTGGGGTTATTTACTGTTAATTTCTCATTTGGTCTGTGCTCATCCTAAAACCTTGTTCAACATTTTTAGCTTATTATAGCTCATTAGAAATGGTTTGTAAGTTATGGCTCATGGGTTTATCAATAATAATTAACAAGTCATTTATCGATGCCTTAAAGGGTAGTAATAAGAATGAATGTCTCAGTTAATTACAAGTCTACAAAGTGCATGTAGGCCTATCACCTTATTTTATTTTGCTCATTTCCTCTCAGTTTAATGACTTTAGTCATTAACACTATCGGCTGGTCAAATTGCTATGAGCTTGGTAAATGGAGCCACTTGAATGGAGAGGAACTGTGCATGTTAGCAAGCATCTCCCCTGCTGCAATCACAGGGACTTGCTCTTCTGCACGTAGACCCAGACACTGCTTCAACTGGGAATATGCAGAACATCATGGAGGTAATTGATCTACACTCCCTAATGGACGTTACTCAGACCCAAATGAATATTATCAGCTGGGTGGTATCTGTCTCACGTCGATGCTCCTATCACCTCTTCCACTCTCACCTCAGCAGAGGGTCTGTCATGGACTCCATATCTCCTCACACAATCTCACCCGGCGGACACACCACCACCGAGGACTGGACACACAACTTTGTTTTGGTTTTGTGTGTGTGAGAGATAAAGAGAAAACCGAGAAAGAGAGCGTGGGGCCCATGTTTCATGTCATATGCAGATAGAAGAGGAGCTGATTGAGCTGACACCTTGTTCTGCTCTCAAACACACACAAACATTCACTGCTGGAACAGAACGTCTTCTGGCATGGTTTTATTTGTTGCATCAGATGTTAGATGTAAACATATATCAGCATATTTGCAATGATGAAAATTCCCCTTGGTACTGCCATGCTCTTTATGATTTTCTGTGCATCATCAGGGGATGGAGCTGCAGTACTGTGGTCCCATCCACACACTTGTTCGACCAATCACGAGTCAGTCTCAACAATCAATCATGAGGTTTCACCTGGTTTTTATAGCATCAAATCACCAGAAACTTGGATGAACTTCAGTGTGATAAGAGCTATCTAATATGACAGAAAACATATTTCAGATGAGGTGGGATTTATGACCTATACCAGCCACCAGGTGGCGATGAAGACATTTTGGCTTCACTTTTGGGTAGCAGCTGTGTAGTTCATCTTTATATATGAAGCAACCAGGTCATGTTTGAGAGAAAGAACAGATTATAAGTGAAACATTTAAATGTATATAAATCTTATGCAATTAGCCTATAACAACCCTTCATTAATGATTTAATTAATTCATATCATAAAACCTTGATTTCATAATGACAATATTGTGTTTTTGTAATGATATTTTTTATCCAGATAATCAAAGCTAACTTGTTTTAATCAGCTTTATATGTCAGTGAAGTAAGAATTTAGATGTGTCTAAAAAGAGATTAATAAGAGAGAGTAACTGGTGTTAAATATTTGCATAAATAAAGATTTCTACAACAGTGAGACATTGTTAAGTGTTATGTAAAAGTAAAGTAAAGTTTAAAATTAGCTTGGAGTTTGCTAGTTTGAGCACACTGGGGATTAGGAAACATTGCTCAGGGGTATTTGGGTAGCATTGTGCACACTTGGCATCAGCGACAGCAAGCTCATTATATATTGTGCCACTAACGCTGCAACATTTGGACCTTCAACAGGCCACCAAGCATCAGGGACACAAAATGCAGAGCACTGACTAGAATAAATATCAACCACATGATTCCCAGCCTGCTGACATTTTGCCTAATGTGTCTTCCTTCTGCCGTGTAAGTGTGTGTCCTCAGCCACATATGGAGAGAACACACCTCACCATGGCAAATGTGGATTTGGCTGACAAACACCCATGAAAATACACGGCAGTGAGTTGAACTGAGGAATGGTCACCTGACATAATGGCTCTATGTGTAGCTGTACATCCTGCTCCCCCTCTCTATCGGCACTAACAACCTGATGACGGGCTGCTAAGTCAGCTCCAGCCCACTCTTGCTCCACAGCTCAGCCTCCCAGTGTGTGTGTGCTGCGGACAAAGATAGGACTCTCAAAGGGGGCCAGCACAATGCTAGGTGGCACAAAGGCTCCCGTTTTTTTTGCTTGCTCCTCTCAGACTCCTTCTATCGCACTTTCTCTAATGGAAAAAAAATGACCCGGCCCACACATCAGAAGACGTTGTAGCATTGACAAAATGACTTATTGCTCTTTGCTGCCCACTTTCCCTCCCTCCCTCCCCAGATTCATCAAGCTACCAACCTCCCTGTCAAAATGGCTGGCACCCACTGGCATTTGTCTAGCCTGTCACCCTTCCTCTGCAGTGACCTTGAGACAGAGAAGAAGGAGTGATGGTGCTCCCACAACTGCTGCGATACACTTCCCCTCCCCCCCAGAAAACACCAAAGTGAGGTAGCTCTCACTTACACTGACAGTTGGAGGAGGGGGAAAAACCCTCTGCATATCCACATCAATCAAAATAGGATTAGGGTGCATCTCTACGGCCCTTTTTATTTCCCATTAACTCACAGTGCTGATGAAATCTGAACCGCTAAATGGTAACTGAGGTTGGAGAGCCACATTGTAGCTTTAGTTCTCTTCAGTAATTAAGTTAAATTCAAAAACATCAGAATTAGGAAGTGTTTTCATCATTACGAGAAAGTTAAGAGGCTTTACTGTTACACTGGTACGATGCCATTGTAGATGACAAAGGGCAGCGGAGTCTTTCCGACAGCGGATAATGACATGACAATGTGTGAAACTAAACTGTCCGCTGCCATCAACCACCTTCACCGGCAAAATGATCCACGCCCCTCCAAGGAACCTGTTGTGACCGCTTTCACACGTGACCCGCCAGACGCCACTTTTCTACAGTAGTGATGCAGACGAAAGATGATGCATGAATTCTTAATCTAATAAAGACAGTGATAGAAGTGGAAGGCAATCGTCCCAGCCATGCTGAATTAATGAGGCGCTGGCTTCCTTCCGTCTGCCAGGTTTCTGAATGACTTGGCTCGTCAGCGTTCACTTTGTGTGAAGCCGTGGTTTTGCTGTCTGCCTCCGGGCCTCAAACTCTGTACTACGTTAGCCACTCTAGCCAGTCTTCATTAAATCTGCACGACGGATCATTTTACAGGCTTGATCTTCCTTGTGACCTTGAGCTCGTGCTGAGGATGGTGGCTTTCAGCAGGAAATTTTGAGGTTTCAGTGTCCCATAAAAAGTAGACATCCATCCGTGAGGCAGAGAATAGTCAGGGTTCCAGGCTTTTGGTTAACCCTGTCCAGAACGCCTCCTTCCCCGAACACCTGAGCCGCTGCACTGCATGAGCTCGTCTGCACAGGGAGGACAGAACCAATTCATTGCTTCACACCAATTCAAATTCTAGTTGCACTTGCCCCGTTAGATTACACCTCATCCCTCACACTTCTACCTCTTCTCTTAACACCTGTACAGATGTGTAGCTCCTGCCCGAGCTGCTGCATCCTCCCCCACCCACCCAAAAAAAGTTCGAAAAGAAATTACTTAGGAGTTGGGCATTCCCATGGCAACCAGGTCCTGTGGTATAGGCAGGGATATCAGGCCAAGCCCAATGCCATTTGCATACAAATTGCCCAGCTGGTACCTTGTTGTTATGACAACGGCACACAGCTCCCAGAATTCATTTGGAAGTGAAATACAAGAAGAGAGCAGCTGGCGAGGAGAGTCATTTTTAAAATTCTTTTTCCTTTATAATGAAGACGTTTTGACGGACACTGTTTTCCCATGTAAACCCAAATACCTGGAGGAAATGGGGAAAAAAATATGATTCTCAAACCTCAAGACAGGCTGATGAGTGAATAGGTCAGATAATTTGCAATATTAAATATATTTTTCTTTAGAAAAATATGTTTAAAATTAATGAATTACTGTCAGACTATAAAAATGATACTGGCATGAAAATCTGTTGTTTTTCTTCTCCAGAACTTCTGCATGACCTCTGGCAGATATTCTCGAAACTGCCTCGATCTGCCTCCTTCGTGGTTCACCTCATTTTGCAAACCTTTATATAATTCCTTGCAATGAGCCGTGCCAAATCCTGAGAGCTTGAGAGAGACAAAAGTGAATTCAGCTGACGACACAGTGTCCTCTGCTGGCAGCTACCAGCAGAAGAGTTTGCACAACTGCCTGTCTGACTAAAAGGATAATATTTAGCTTAAGGGCAACTGATTCAATGCTTTTCCATAGTCATCCTGGCTCAGCTCACACTGGCCAGTTAAATTGTCCAGTTTGTCCGGTTTGCATGAGTGTTCTGTGAACCCTATGTACCTATTTATCCCAGAAACCAAGACTCCAGTTTAATCATTGGCTTCTGTGCCTCATGTCAAACAGCCCAATCAGTGCCTCTCTCAACGGGGGAAACAAAAGGGGCTCCTTGGAGAGCAAGGTGAACCCTCACCCTGTATACTTTAAACTTATGTTAATGATTAATGATGAGAGCCCCAATGATGGTCCTTCTACAGACTGTTAGAGACAACTGGTCCAAACCACTTCAGCCTGGATTAAAAGACCCGTATCAGCAACAATACAGCAGTGTGTGTGTGTGTGTGTGTGTGTGTGTGTGTGTGTGTGTGTGTATGTGTGTGTGTGTGTGTGTGTGTCTGCGTTACACCCCATACCTCAGGGTGAGAGCAGAAGGAAGGTGACACATCCTGCCTCCCCTAGCATATAAATGCAGGAGCCTTCTCGCTGAAGTGCTGTCGGCGCTAAAGCAAGACTGTTTAGTCCATTTCCTCCCCCCTGAATCTGCAACCTTCTCCCAAGGTCAAAGCTCTCCAGCAGCTCAGATCTTTACTGAAGCATCACTCAGCACATTTGCCACCCAACCTCCGATTCAACATGGCAACCCGATGGGGACTGTGTGGTGCCGGGAAGATCAGCCATGACTTCAGCGTGGCCATGAAGATTCTGCCTCCTGCAGATCACCAGGTACTCAGTCCTCTTCGTTGTCTGCCTCGCAGTGAACAGAACTGCTGTTACGGTGATGAATATATTTGCGTGTTTCTCTCTTTATGTGCAGATAGCAGTCATTGCGTCAAGGAGCTTGGAGCGCGCCAAAGAGTTCGCCAAGAAGCACAGTATTCCTAAGGCTTACGGCAGCTACGAGGAGCTCGCCAACAACCCAGACATCGGTGAGTTGAGTGCTTTAAGGAATAGTCCACTTACAGGCAGAGATGATGGCGTGTCAGGGTTTTTGTCATCATGTGTGTCCTCACAGACATCGTGTACCTGGGGGTGTTGCATACGGAGCACTGGCGAGTCGGCCTGCTGTTCCTCAATGCAGGAAAGAACGTGCTGTGCGAGAAACCTTTTGCCATGAACTCCAGACAGGTGAAAGAGCTTGTCGCAGCCGCAAAGAAAAACAAGGTCTTCCTGATGGAGGTAAGGTTTTAAAAAGATGTAGTCATTGGCTGAACAAAAAGGTTGGTGGTTTGATCCCAGGCTCCTCCACTCCACACTGAAGTGTCTTTGGGCAAGATGCGGAACTCCAAATTGCCCATGTGCCAGCAGTGTGTGAATAGTGTGATAGAACAGTATAACATGTAGGAGCGCTGCATAACTGCGTGTGTGACAAGGTGAATGTAACTCGGACAGGAAAGTGCTTTAAAAGGTCGATAAGGCTCGAAACCCTCGATATAAAATATACTCCCTACCATTTGCTAGCCATGGGAGTTGCTGTAGTTTCAGGTCTTATTCAAGCAAACAAAAAAAATGTTCGTTGTTTTGTAATGATTGTTTATTTGTGAGGATAAATGAAATTATGCATTTTCAAGAGGCCCTAACACACAAACAACCACAAAAAAAATTAGCGTGATAGAAAATCCAAAAATAAGGCAACAATGAACATTTTAAGAAACACACAAACTTCACCATGATAAGTGCAATGCTCAACACACTGGAAGGCAATAAGACGATAGATACATCCATGCATACATATGTATATATGTAGACGCATTATATATATAAAATAGAAAAAAAAAACATGTCATGTATCAGATGCAGAAAAAGGATTTAGATGTTGTTGCTGTAAAGTTATCTAAGACGTGAGGTCGTGAAGTCAAAACGAGCTCACCCACACTGTTCTCACTCACGCACAGTCGTGCTGATCCTTAAAGCAGCAGCCTGACATTTTGGAAAAACACTCATATTCCCTTCATTGCAGGGAGTTTATGGATCAGAAGTCATAAAGCCTGAATGTCTGGGGAGTATTTACTGCTCGTGCTTCATGAAAACATCTTGTCATGTCATGTTTGAGCAGAACATCTGCTCATATATGAAGTGAAGAGCTGTGCTGAGGAACTGCTGCTCAGCTGAAACTCCTGTATAAACTGTTTACTGATGCAGTGGTGCTGTGTTCTCACCTCTGTCCCCCCCAGGCCATCTGGTCCCGCTGTTTCCCCGTGCACTCTGAGGTGCGCAGGCTGCTGGCGGAGGAGGTGGTCGGGGAGGTGAAGCTGGTGAAGGCCTACTTCGGCTCCCCCCAGCTCCACATCCCCCGCTCGGTGGAGAAAGAGCTGGGAGGAGGTGCGCTGCTCGACATCGGAGTGTACTGCCTGCAGTTTGTCCTCATGGTGTTCAACGGAGAGAGGCCGGAGTCCATCCAAGCCACGGGGGTGCTGCTTGACTCAGGTATGATTCAGCACTCTGGTCACGCAGCAGAGGTGGGATACGGATTAGTATCATTAACCACACAGCACGAATCAGTGATCACAGACTAGCTGCTCCTCACCATGAAAAAAAAGAAGAGGAAAAGAAGAATCCCTCGAGTAACGTGATGTGAAAATTAGACCGAAAATCACATCTTTAACTGAACTGTCCTAAATGTAAACACCTCAGGGAAGAATTCTTCACACAGAAAATCCCACACTTATCTATTAAATGTCAGACTAATCCAAATCCTCCCTGTGGAGTACAGTAATAAAACTGGCAGGGGGGGTGTAACGGCATTTCTCACAACTAGTTATACTTCACTGAAAGATAATCACACACTTCAGGTTTTCCTTCTCTTGTTCTTAGAGAAGTCACAGCAGCTGGGGCAGATCTAAGATTTTTCTAAATCAGGTGCCACAATCTGCACAGAGGGGCAAATTACACGTCCAACATCTGTGCACTATTCCTGATTCTGTAGGATGCACATTTAAGTCTTTGAGAAAAGCCAAACCAAAAGCTAAGAAAATAAGGCTAAACAAATTCCATTATGAAACTGTGATGGGACAAATTAGAATATGGCAGTCCATCACAGTCTACATAATTAATGGAAAACATTGACTGACAGGACAGGAGCCCTTCAGGGGCCAATCAGACCCCTGGATCCACCCCTGCATGCCAGTAAAGCTGAAATGACCTGAATAGAAATGTGCTACAATGACCGTACATAAACTGAACTAAAAGATTTCCTTCATTAATTCATTGGTCCTTCATCAGATTGATTTTTTTCCCCAAATATTTTGACAGGAGTGGATGAATCTGTGGTGGTGGTGATGAAGTTCTCCAGGAACAGGATGGCCTTCTGCTCCTTTTCAATCGCTGCTCGACTCCCGAATGATGCTGTCATCAGCGGCACTGAGGGCTCCATTAAAGTACGCCGTGCAAGTCTTGTACAGGAACCTTTCACTTGATTACGAGATGATTGAGACTAAGATGGCCCCTAATTACTTTCTCATTTGATTAAACTGAAGTATATATCAGACAAAAGATCCATACCCACTGCGTTTCATGATACACAAGTCGAATGATCGGATTAAGACCAAAGCTCATTTCCTTTTTTGCTCGCCGTGCAGGTCCTCGGCCCCATGCACTGCCCCACTACACTGGTTGTGAATGACAAGGAGACAGAGTACCCTCTACCTGAGCCGGGCCTTCCTCTGAACTTCACCAACAGCACTGGGCTTTGCTTCGAGGCAGAGGAAGTGAGGCAGTGCCTGCTGAAGGGTAGGTCATGGTAGAAGGAAAGTTGTGTATGTAGCCTCTAGTAGATGAAGTTGTTGGAGCCGCTGTTTAAAAAGTAAGGTGAGTCTGAAATTCATTATACATGAATGTACTCATCAGATCAGCTTATGCAGAATTACACTCCCATGGCAATTTACATAATCATTACATCCCCGCTTTGACCTAATTTATGCATCTTTGTGAGTATGTGCATAATTATTCATGGCTATAAACAGAAGTGTCTTTTCATCAGTGGGATTTTCTCCTCCTCTTCCACAGGACTTAAGGAGAGCCCACGGATGCCTCTGGCTGAGTCCATCTTACTGACGGAGATCATGGATGAAATCAGGAAGCAGGTGGGAGTTGTCTTCAGCCAGGACAGCCAGTGACATCAGTCCGGAGCCAAGCTGTTCCACCTGACCTAAACCTGCTCAGGTGGAACAGAGGGAAGCCGCTCGAGGGAAAGCGCCGGATCTTTGGCACAAGCAGATCAGTCATGGCACCGTGTGACACGGCCTGAGCACACACACATTTTCAGCTGTCTCACAGTAATAGATGCAACCAGTACATTCCTGGAGCATGTACATCTATAGCTTATTTACCACTGTTTTTCTTTATCAAGTCAAGTCAAGTTAACTTTATGATCAATAATGCCATATGTGCAGGACATACAGAGAATTGAAACTGCGTTTCCCTCTTATCCCCGGTGCAAACAGCATTAAACAGGAAATATAAAATATAAGTAAGTAAAAGATATAAAATAAATATAAAAAAATATATACAAGCTAAAAGATATCTAAGAAAAAGACAGTGGCAAATATAGAAGATATAAAAAGTCTAAATATGGCAAATATGGCAAATATGGCAAATATGGCGGTATGAACAGAATTAACGGTATAAACAGAAACAACAGTCTGACAGTATAGGTATGACAATATAAACAGAATTATCAGTGAAATATAAATATGGCAATATGGCAGTATTAGTAGAATTGTATACATCCTGTTTGGCATCTAGAGAGATCTGTGATAACTTCAAACACACAAACATACATAAAGTGTATATAAAATGGAGCAGTGAAGCCAAATTATATTGATTGTCCCTTGAAGGCTGACTGCAGTATAGGTCACATACCCACCTTCTCCATGTAAGCAGATGGGACATTGTCCCAAATAAAAAGTCGAGTGCAAAATACATTTCTTCCTAAAATGGTTTCTGTCACTTTATGTAGTTCTTCTCACACTGACGTTTGTTCACGTTTTCATATTTCCAGGAAGTTTATCTTTAGTTTGTCTTTTGATGCTATAAAAGGGGTCAAAAGTCATGATTGACAGCTGAGACTGACTCATGGTTGGTCGATGACACCATGTGCATTGACACCTTGGTTCCCCTACGTGGAGGAAGATGTCATCCATCTTTATATATAAAGTCTGTTATCAAACACAGTCACTCTAACTCACAAAGTAAACAACCTGCAGATTCTTTAAAATATAGCACATGACAGACACAAATCACAAGGTAAACAAACAGACCTACCATGTTGTGTGTCAAAATCCTGTAATCAAGTCCTTGGCCCTTTAAAGACAACCCCAGCTGTCAGTGTGAGGTGTGTGATTGATGAATCCAATAAAGGATTGATTGTGAAAGCTGTGTTTCATTCCAAATATCCTCTGCTAGAGAGGAGAAGAAGACACGTGGAGTGGCACATTTGAATCAAAGTGTTGTGTCGTGTCTGGCCCTTGTAGCAACGGACGAATAGATTCATGTTCGCCTGCACAAAATTAGCCTGCACTGTCTGCTTCTCAGGGTTGAGAGAGAGAAAGGCCTCTGTTAGTCAGCAAAGAGCACGACTCATCTAATATTTGTTCTCAACCTTCTGTGCTCAATAAACTCCTCAAACATGGAGGCTGTTTCACTGAAACACTGAGCAGCCCAACACCAAGAAACACCTTCCTTTGTGAGGAAATTAGAAGTTTACATCCTTAGTACTTTCTTTCAATGGTTTTTTCTTGTGCCACAGCTTCACCAATTATAGTTGAAGTATGAAGTTAAATTTACACACCACACAGTGTCAAGCCATGGTAAATATTACCTGTACATGTCAGATTACCTCTAACCTCAAACCACTTTCAGTGATAACATTCAAGAAAAACAAAAGAACATAAAAATAACAACAATAATAATTATAGTAATAATAAATATCAAGATAATAAGAATTTAGCCTAATAACGCCACAATGAGATGGTTGATTAAAGATAATTAATCTCATGAGGAATTCAAATGTAAATAAAGGAAAAAAGAAATTAAATTGTCAGTGGTGAAAATAAAATACAAAGCAAAATAAAAAGAAAAAACTGTGAAAATAGCACAGAGAGTTTTATAAATAAGATTATGATCACAACCATAAGGATAAACACAATTAATAAAAGTAGGAGCAGGAAGTGATTCAATATTTAATTGATAATAATTATTATTATCATCATCATCATCGTCATCATCATCATCATCATCGTGTTGTTTTCATACAACGCCACACGGTCAAAATCAGTACTGTGTCTCCACCTTGTGGTAGAAACCAGGCACTTAACAGACAGCCATCATCGCTGTTGCGTCACTTCCTTGTTCAACATGGCAACCAGGTGGGGGATCTGCAGCAGTGGGAGGATCAGCAATGACTTCACTGTGGCGCTGAGGACTCTGTCTGCTGAGGACCACCAGGTACCAGAGTGTAGTGAGTGTGTGTGGAGACGTGTGTGTCTGCTGATCATATAACAACACTGTCAACAACCTAACAAACTGTCTCTGATCACACACACACACACACACACACACACACACACACACACACACTGTCGAGCATATAGCAGCTGCAGGTCTGATGAACAAAGTGATTACATCCATTATTTATCCTGCTCCTTCTTTTAGTTTCACTTTATCTAAACATTCTCTGATTTAGTCGGGTTCTGTTCTCTAACGTCACGTCCGGCTTATCCTTTTCACAGGCGGATGTCAAATTCTCTCCCAAAATGACTCCAGTGATCACTGTAGAGTGATTTTTTTTATCTAGTTTCTCACACACATTGTTTGACTTTCATCTAAAACCTACAAGCTGCTCTTTAAATTGACCGCTGCCGTCAACCCGCCTCACAGCACGAGACTTTTACTTTGAAGGGGGGTTATCTTTGTTTCCGGTCCAGTTCATTGGACGTGACCACAAGTTACATCTGTTAATACTGTTAATGTTTTTAAATAATATATGATGTTTTGAGGTCTTATGATCTATATAAACTACCCCATTCTGAAAGGCAGGGGGCCTCAGGTGATGGACACAGTAGTGCCTTTATAACATGTGGTCTGTGCCTGAATGAAAAAGAGTGAGAATCATCATTAGTTCATTGTATTTGTTTGTGTTGCTGCAGTTGTAGGTAACTTGTGTTTAACTGAGCACCACAGGTAAATGTACTAAGACGACATCATCAGACTCCAGCTTCAGCCTCAGACTACACTCTGCAGCAGCACAGCTGTGGTGAGACTTTTTAGTGAAGAGCAGCTGAGTGTGATAGATAATGATTTGAAAGTGTGTTCTCAGGTGGTGGCTGTGGCTGCTCGCCGGTTGGAGGATGCGCAGGAGTTTGCCAAGAAGCACAGCGTCTCCCGAGCGTACGGCAGCTACGAGGAGCTGGCCAGAGATCCAGACATTGGTCAGGTTCTGACCTTTCAGGGTTAAATCTGATTGGCTCTTTGCATTTGTTTTTTTGTTGTTTTTGTAATGCGTTGTCCCTTGGTGTGTTGTATCTGCTGCTTCGGAAATCTCCAGGTCAAGCTCCTGGTGAATCTCCACTCATTTTTACTTCAGTGCCAGTGTCCTCCTACAGCCTTGTGTGTGTGTGTGTGTGTTTCTGTGTGTACAGATGTGGTGTACATCGGAGTTATCCACCCCTGCCATCTGAGTGCTTGTCTGCTCTTCATGAACGCCAAGAAGAATGTGCTGTGTGAGAAGCCTCTGGCCATGAACACCAAGGAGGTGAAGGAGATCCTGGCCTCTGCTGAGAGGAACAACGTTTTCCTCATGGAGGTACGAGTGGAGCAGATAAAAAACTCTGGACTCAAAATCTGGACTTTAATTTCTTCTCTTCTACTTCTCACCTGCAACGTCATTCTGGCTTCAGGAGGATGGAGTTTGTTGCCCTTTACACTCTGCTTTGCTTTTCAGTTATTTTTCTCTTAACATCAATTCAACCTTTATTACTAATTTTGTATAATATTCATTATTCTTAAAATTGTGTCTAAACTTAAACTATAACAAATTCTTCATGGGTTTATAGATGCAGTTCGTCTGGTCTTGTCAGTAAAGAGTCATATCTTGTGGTCACGAGTAAGTTATCTCGTTCCATTGTCTTAAGTGGTAGTCATTTAATATTTCTTTTCCCAACTGTCCCCAGGGGGCCTCCACACAAACTCCTTTTTTATTAAGTCCTTTAAAATTAAGGAATGAGCATACAAACCCTCGTTAATGATTTAAACCTTGTGAATCATTACATTCTGTCCCGTCCTTCGCTTCAGGGCGTCTGGACCCGTTTTTTCCCGGCCTCAGTCGAGATCCGAAGGCTTCTGGCCCAGGAGGAGGTGGGCGAGGTCAGGATCGTCAGAGTAGAGTTTGGTGTCCCGTTGATGCACGTGCCGAGATCGGTGGAGAAGGAGCTGGGCGGAGGAGCGGTTCTAGATCTTGGCATCTACTGCCTGCAGTTCATATGCATGGTGTGTGACGGAGAGAAGCCAGGGAGCATTCAAGCCACAGGGATTTGCCTGGAGTCAGGTACGCACCAACGGGCCAGAGGAGTCTCACAGACATCATTTCCCAGTTATCATGAGGGGACATGTTGCACTCAACAACATGATGTCAGCCCCAGTGGTTAAGAAAGAAGCCTGTTATTCTCAGTGAGTCATCCTCCACCACTGTTTCTCTTTAAAGACATCACACTCAGGTCACACAGGTTAAAACCAGCAGGGTCGACATCGTTCAGCTTCTAACCTGATAAATGATGGGAGTTGTTAGGTTTTGAATTGAGGATTTCTGAACAAGGGAGCGTACATGTGCGATAAGAGCTCAGATCTGATCTTCGTCACTCTTTTATGACTTAACTCCCACGATAAAAGTCTGAATGATCTTAAGTATAAATCGCAGTAGATTTCAGTGACTCTGCATTTTGTTTTGGAGAGAAAATACTGAAACATCACAAGAGTCCTTCATGATGCTTTTATTTTTTTTAAACCATGTCACCACTTTCATTATTCTATTTAATCATCTCCTCATCACATGTGGCTCAGTAGCTGCAGAAGGTTGGTGGGTCAAACCCCAGCTCCTCCAGGCTGCATTCTGAAGTGTCATTGGGCAAGGGATGAAGCAATTAGCCCTGACAGCTGTATAAATGATGTGATAGAAAAAAGTGCTGCATGTAGGAGCGACTTTGAATATAATGTAAATACAATCCATTTACCCTATATTTGTATGTTGTTCCAGGAGTGGATGAGACTGTGGTCGTCACTCTGAAGTTCTCCAAGAACAGAATCGCTGTGTTTACCTGCTCTTCACGTATAAAGCTGTCCAATGAGGCCGTCATTGTGGGCACCAAGGGCACGATCAAGGTAGGCCATCACACCAGGACCGCACATAATCAAATAAAACGTCTGAAACACCACATCTGTATCACCATTTGTGTCTTCAGAATAAAATTAAAATTGACCAAGCGAACTCAAGGTCATCTGTGGAGTAATTTAGGAAGGAAATGAGGAAGTTGTGTGTTGTGAAAAACACCTTGTGTAATGAAAGAAAGTTTATACTAAAGTTGCACACAATGTTCCCTATCCACTGTGATTTTTACCTTTGCTGTCATTGATTTACTGTTGCATGTGTTTAGGTCCCTGACCACATGTGGAGCCCCACGTCACTCGTGGTCAATGGGAAGGAGACTCAGTACCCGGTGCCTGAACCCCATCTACCGCTCAACTTCCTAAACAGCACAGGGATGCGTTATGAAGCAGAGGCGGTTCGACAGTGTTTGCTCAAAGGTACAATGATGTTTTATGTATTTTACTCCAGAGAAATGAATTAATACATACACAAACTAGAAGTAGCATTTTTGAATGGATATCTGTATACTTGTAATACACTCTTTTAACACATGGTGGCATCAGAAACACTAAACTCTTCTGGTCATGCAGTTTCCAGTGAAGACCTGACCCTACACTGTAAATGTTCTCACTCAGTGTTTTCTCCATGCAGGGCTGAAGCAGAGTGCAGTTATGCCTCATGCTGACTCTCTGTGGCTGGCTGAGGTGGAGGATGAGATCCGCAGGCAGGTGGGGGTGGTGTACGACAAGGACAGCCAGTAAATCTTTCACCGTATCATTTATACATATTTATAATGGGGAATAAATTGCTCTCTCACTGTTCCAAGTACTTGACAGTCATATACTGCTGCTGATTACTTTGAGGATGAAGTTTTCATATGAAATGCAAGTATAAGCATCAGTACAGTAAATGTTGTCTGATAAAGGAACTTGAAGCAACTTTAAGTTCATCTTGAACCTATCTGAACTTCACTGACAAACTTTACACCTTTTTAAATAAATACACTTTGCTGAACAGTTTGGTTTTCCAGAATGTTTCACCTGAATCCACCAATTAAAGAAAACTTCAGAATTACATTGACAGTACAATGTCTTGGTATAGGGAGAATTGTGCTGCTTCCATTCCCTCCTCACCCTGAATGCCTGATCTTTCTCAATGCAGCTGGTGATCAGGTACAATCTCCTGCTAGAAATGTGGTAGATCACATTAAAACCAGGGTTTATCTCCAATAATCAGAGAGAAAACTAAAAACATGAAGAATTCTGAACAGGGTTTGATGTATTTAAAATCAGATAATCCATTATAAGTCCCACGGTGGAGATATTTGCCAACTATTTGTTACAGCAGCAGCTCTTCTGGTTCAGGAAGCAGGGGATTATGGGTAATATTTACTAATCAGTTGTTTCAGTTCAGTATGTTTTGTTTTTTCTCTACATGAAAACCATTTTATCGCACACAAAATTATTTATATTTGGCTGCACAGACAATATGAAGTGTGAACTGACAGGATCAGATTTTAGTGGTAGTGGGTAATAGTGCCTTTAGGACAATTAAAATAATTTATTTCTTATAATTGTCCTAAAGCCAACTTGTTGAGTAAAATGCCCCAACACTGGTATAAAATGTTGGCATTTTAACTCAATGCAAAAAGGACTGTGCTGCTGCACTATTATAATATATTAATATATATTTTCTCCCAGCACCCCGTTATGACAGAGTTCCAGCCTTCCTTTTGCTCAATACTTTACATTAAGATGCTTAAATGCACACCAGGAACTTCAATTTGTGATTTGTGTCATCAAAGATAGCATTTGCACTTCAGAGTTAATTCAGGTGATCATCTCTTTTATTGATGGAAATCCAATCTTCTCGGACAGCTCAGGACCACAGCTAAACATTAATACCCCTTAACATTTAGTTGGTTTTTACATTTTAAGCATTACAATCAAAAGCATGTTAGACACATGAGGACAACTACAGGTCACTGATGTGGAAGGAGAGAGATTAACTAAGGGGTTCTACCCACTCATCACCCACTGGGACTGAGAGGCACCAGGCTCCATCCCTGCATCTGCTCCCGTGAAACAACCCTAAAAGTGCTTATTCATATCAGTCAACTTTAATGATATGATACATAAGTGCCAACTTAGATATGATCCAAATACAAAGAAATGTAAAGGCGTTATGACACATCTAATAACACAAAATACAGTAACTAGTTCAAACACCTCTGGAGAGGACATCCAAAACTAACATTTCTCTATTGTCAGACAAAATATAAGTAGTATTGGATGTCCCACAGCAAAACGTCACCATCCACAAAAGTAATATAGATTGTAACATCGTCTGGAGTAGATTAGGAGTGCAACACGAACACGTACACTTAAATACAGTGAGCTGGCATTTAAGAGAGGACACTTCATAATGACAGCACAACACAAGGATCTGTTTGGGTGGAGCTGAGGCTGCACTGCAGGAGGAGCCCTTTTTTTTTTGAAAGCCACAAGTTTGTTCATTCAGGCGAAAGAGGAGCGTGATTAATAAATGTAATCAAGGAGCTCTGTTAAGATCAGTCTGCCCCACCATCAACCCCACCTAAACATGAGCCAGTATGCGCATGCACACAGAACCAGGATGCATTCACTCATGGGACAGGTTCACTTTTAACGATACAGATAGTTGAATTAATAAATACAGCAGTTTCTGGTTAGGATGAATTCGTCTGAGGCCCTGAAGACTGGTTTGATTAAGAGAATATCAGTGTGAAGGGAATGGAAACAAAGTGGAATTGTAAAGAAGGCTATACTCTATTTTTTTCATCATTGCCTAAATAATAAATTGTTCAAAGTGTGGATTCTGTAATCCTGGATGTGAAAGGCTGTGAGCTGCAGTGGAGTGGGGGGCACTATGAAAGATAGATGAAGGTGAAGAGAGAAAGCATAGCAGCCCCGCTGGCTGTTCAAGCCACCAGAACCACACGCATAGTGTTGGTGTAACCAGAGCCTGGACGCCAGCCGGTCAAGACGATGACAACGTCTCCCTCTTTGAAGAAGCCACGGACTTTGCCTGGAAGATAAAATATAAAAATGTAAACCAGACAAGCTTGTATGTTCTCTTAAATTCTGTTTAACATAATGTCTTGGCATCAGTATTCACAGCAGTCGGACATTGTGCACTGCAACAACTGGACCAAGTTCCAAAAGTACTCATATCTTACCCATATCCATTGCAAAGTTGACACGCATGTCGACGTCCTCCGCCCACACGTCGTGAGCAGGCTTGGTGTAGAGCACAGGGAAGATGCCGCGGTACAGGTGAGCTTGGCGAGCTGTCTGAGCGTTACGGCTCACAGCGAGGATGGGGGCACGGGGCCTGTACCTGGAGATCAGGTGGGCGGACCTGCACATGTGCACAGTTACATATTTGATAAGTATCTGTTACAGCACAGATGCACAAACATTCACACCCGTCTTATGACTGCAAATAACTGACAACAAAAGGAACATAACAAATTCAGTGCCTAAAGTCATGTTAATGTCAAGTGTGACAAAATCTATTGAGTGTTGGTTTCCAGTCAGAAAGAGGTTCAGTTACCATGGTAGCATGTTGAATAGTTTACTAGAGAATTTCAAAATCTATACATTGATTTGATGTTGATTTATTATATGATTGATATTAAATCTTTTTAAAATCCTGTTATGTCTTTGAGTTCCTTGAAAAGCACTAGACAAATACAATACATAATAATTATTTAAACTAAAGTGTGCCTTTTAACGTCATGCAAGTCATTTCTCTCAATGCTGAAAGGCCAACATGTGTATTAACTTCATGCTGTGGGATTGAACCCTTCCACTCAATCACGAGTTGTCTCGCCATAACAGGTGCAACAACGGACCCTTGAACACAGGGTGTAAATGCCCACATGGTCCTGAGACATCAAATCAGACAAAATTACAGTGAATTATGGGAGTGCAGAAGTCAATGGCGTGATCCAAATGTTCTCTCTTTAACACCAGACTTTGAAGGCACTGGACTTCCCCTCAGAGAAAGAACTATGTACCAGTCAGGTTAGTTTAATTTCATATGAAATAGGAGCCTTCCATTTGGAAAGAGAAAGTCCTTGGTAACATTTCACCAAATGTCTCGTTCTTCTTGAAGCATTTTTTTTGCAACCTCCTTGGGTCAAACGTAGTCACAGAGCCAGGTGCTGTTAAGGAGGGAACACATTTGGACTGTGCTACTAACAACCTCCACTTTCATTCTGAAATCTGTTGCTATATCCAGCCACCCTATTTAACAGCACACATACACTCACACACACAATTGAAGGACAGGGGGTACAGATAAGCGCACATTAGGTGTTTTGGGGGAGAAGCGAGAGTGCATGACAGGCCGCCTTGAGTATGGCGACACTTTACTGTCAAGACCAGGATCCTTTCACCTCTTTCCTTCTCTTCCTTACCTCCCAGTCTTGGTGAGAACAATGATGGCACTAGCGCAGCATTTGAAGGATGACTCGACAGCTCCGACAGCTACAGCCTCTGAAGGGTCTCTGGTCAGTTGGGAGTGTCTCCTCAGCTCCTCAAACAGCTGTCTGTGGAAGGTGGCTGCCTCAGCCTCACGTGCAATCTGAGGCCCGAAGGATGGGAGGGAGGAAGGAAGGAAGAGTGGGGGTGTGGGGGCTGGGGGTCAGTCACACGCATAACACCACAGTATCTCGCCAAGTCATTCACACCATTGGGAGACACTGGCAAATGCTGAGTGAGACACCTGGTTGTTTAGATTTGAGGATAATAAGGATATGTCCTTTAAGAAGCTCAGTCAGAGACTTTAGAAAATTATTGAGTTTAAGGTTCAGTGTGTAAGATTTAGGTGAAAGGGATCTATGGCAGGAACTGAATATAAAAGAAACCCAGTGATGTTTTCACTTGTGTGTAATGATATGAATTGTACAAATTGTTGTTTTCTTTACCCAAGAATGGGCCCTTTATATTTAAATATTTTAAATTTACATGTGGAGCGGGTCCCCTCTACAGAGGCCGCAATGTTTTTTTTTTTACAGTTGCCCAAACTGGACAAACTAAACACCTTTTGAGTTTTTATGACAACTGAAGGCTACCACAGGTTCTCTTTCATTATTGGAAGGGGAGGGTGAGGTGAGGAGTATTCAGCTGCAACATGCACCTTCACCATTAGATGTCACTTCATTTTAAACACTGAACCTTTAATGTATAAGAGTCTACATTTTAACACCATTATTTTGCTCTTTAAAAGATGTTCACAGCAAGCTGTCCACTCAAGGTATTTGTCAGGCTCAGTCATGCAGTCAGTCCCTGTCTGGCCCTACTCTGCCTCTCTCCGACTCCTTAAAAGCCGATACGAGTGTCCTCCTTGACCTGCCGGGATCAGATAACCTGCCTACCTTCCGGAGCCTGTGAGCACAATGATCGCGGAGGCTAAGCTCTTAAAGGAGGCCTCGACAGCGCCAATCGCAATGGCCTCAGCGGGGTCTTTGCAGAGCGGAGTGGAACGTCGCAGGTCCTCGAACACCTGCCGGTGGAACATCGCTGCCTCTGCTTCACGAGCAATCTGGCACAAGTGAGGGCAAAATGCATCGAGCAAAGGCAGTCCCACGCCAAAGGTGTAAAAAAAGGAAAATAGGAGGAGATAAAAAAGGGACAGGAACATGGAGAAAGACATTGTTAGTGAGAGACACAAGAAGTTAGAGGTGATCAGATGGGACAGAGGACAGGTTGGACAGTGAAAAGTAGTGGTTAGGTGTGCAGATAGTGGGCGGGGAAACATGTGAACATCAATATTAGAACATATCCAAGAGTCAAATGCTGTGTCTCAATTCACATACTTCCATATTTACACACTGTTCAAAGTATTGCAACAATCATTGCACTACAACTACCCAGACGGTGCAGCCAAAGACTTGTAAAATGATCGTCACCTCGCACTGTCAATGGTCACCATCTTGGCTTTGTTTTGGAAAGGGAGGGACCACCATCATGATCGTATTTTCAAACTTATGAATTAAACCTTGTTGACTCTGGTGGCAACAT